CTTCCATATTTAATTTTTTTTATTGAAGTCAAGTAATACTGTCTACCAACACTATCCAGATGAAGCCAACAGATCAACATGACATGTCAAGAGTTACTTCCCTTCCCTTGGGAATATACTTGGGAGAGGTGGGGAGTCGGGTGGGTGCACAACCCTGTTTTTAAAAATGTGAAGCGCATGATTCATGCTTTCCTTACCTTGTCTATGCAGGAAGGCCTTGATGTCTATGAAGGCTGGCTGTAGTCATTCTTGATGCAGATTTGAGCCAATCTCAAACAGATCTGAAACCAAAATGGCAGAATTATTCTATAGAACATATTAATCACTTATCTTTTGATCAGGATATTGGGGATATCGAGATTTGCATTGAATCTGATATTCAGCCCAAAGTTGGCAGCAAATATCAATAATAATTCCAAAACTGCACTAGAATAATGTTAACGTACTAATGTTTCGGGTGTGTGGAGGTGACTTTTATTTCACGGATAACCAATATAGAGGAAGAGGCTGTCGTTTTACATTATTGCTTGAATGCATGTTAAAATATAATGTTCAAATAAGTCTGAACGTAGGAATATATTAATCCCTATCCCCAAATCCATATTTTAACACAATAAACATAATTGTATTCAGCAACATTAATTCATCAGGGAGATTAGGATCCCATGAAATAATTCCTTCATGGGTTCGTACTAGCCTCTGTACTGAAATGATGCAGTTGAAAAATAAACAAGTTCAAATCCATCAGTCAAATATGTCGTCTGATACAACTCCTAAAATGTCATTTGAAGATATTTTGTTCAAAGCGTGATTATTCATTGCTATATAATGTGCAGAATTTGATGACTGGTTTTATGTGATGAAATTGCTAATACAGCTGACACGGCTATGTGAAATGTTGATATTGTTTAAAGAATTATTGATGAAAGCCCACATTTTGCAAACATTCAGCCATGAAACCAAAGATATGGAAACAAGTTGATATTATTTGGCACTTACTCATTTTCTGACATATAAACAATAGGTTTTAGTGAAATATCTTGCAACTCTCTTGGCATTGTTACTGTTAGCCATTAAATGATTGATACAATTTATTGGACAAAATAGAAACAATGTATTATTTTATTGCATCCTTTCTGCTGCTGCACTGACTGCACTACCAACTGACCTCTGCGTCGTGTGACCTTGCCAGGTCGGGGTACTCCTCACCTATGGCGGCGAGAGTCTTGGCCTTCACTGCAGACCTCTCTAGCAGCTAGTTAAGGAAGAGAAGTAACCGGCAACAATTAATATGAAAAATTAGAAAAAGAGGTATCATTTTATTGCATCCTTTCTGTGGCTGCACTGACTGCACAACCAGCTGACCTTTGCATCGTGTGACCTTTCCAGGTAGGGGTACTTCTCAGCTGTGGTGGCAGAGTCCTAGCGTTCACTGCAGCAGCTTGTTGAGGTAGCGAAGCAACTCTTCCAGGAACTGATGTCACGGAAACTCTCCTGGAGGAGTCACAGTCACAGTCAGCAAACATGGAAATGAACATAATCTTTGACCTCAGAGATAAACTTACAGGAAAGAGGACTGTTACCAAAGATGTAAATGTGAAGATAATGAGCAATGTAGACAGTAAAATATAAGGTTTGTAAATATATCACAAGTTTTACATCAATCAGCGGCTGATCCAGAATTTTGAAAAAAGGGAGAGTGGACAATATACACAAGTTATGAACAGACAAAAACACATGGTAAGCCCTAATGTAATGCATCCTGAAAGGGGAAGGATCTGCCAGTGCATCATTAGCTGTTCACGGAAAGAAAGGCAGAATTCAGCAAGCATCAGCAACCTGTCTAACCCATAGTAGCATATACAAGTTTAATCATCTTATGGTAAACACATCTGATATGTTGCTCAACGGACAAGTCTCGTCATCGGGGTCGACACCAGGCTCGATAACGACCATGAGCTTGTTTAGGGGGTTGTCCTAGAGCATAGAACATAGAGCCACGACATGAATTTAACCAATATCAGAGTACCATGAACAAAAGCACACCAGTATCATACAGCCAGGCCATGAACGCAAGCAATATCACCAGTATCATACAGCCAGGTCATGAACACAAACAGTATCACCAGTATCATCAAGTCAGGATAGGAGTTCAAACATTATCACAGTATCAACAAGTCAGGATATGAATTCAAACAGTATCACAGTATAATACAGCCAGGCCAGAGACACAAGCGGTGTCACCATCATCATATATCCAGGACATGAAAACAAGCAGTATCACCAGTATCACACAGCCAGGTCATGAACACAAGCATTATCACCAGTATCATACAGCCAGGTCATGAACACAAGCATGATCACCAGTATCATACAGCCAGGTCATGAACACAAGCATTATCACCAGTATCATACAGCCAGGTCATGAACACAAGCATTATCGTCAGTATCATACAGCCAGGTCATGAACACAAGCATTATCACCAGTATCATACAGCCAGGTCATGAACACAAGCATGATCACCAGTATCATACAGCCAGGTCATGAACACAAGCATGATCACCAGTTTCATACAGCCAGGTCATGAACACAAGCATTATCACCAGTATCATACAGCCAGGTCATGAACACAAGCATTATCACCAATATCATACAGCCAGGTCATGAACACAAGCATTATCACCAGTATCATACCGCAAGCCCATGAATACAAGCAATATCTCCAGTATCATACAGCCAGGCCATGAACGCAAGCAATATCACCAGTATCATACAGCCAGGTCATGAACACAAACAGTATCACCAGTATCATGCCACAAGCCCACGAATACAAGCAATATATCCAGTATCATACACCCAGGCCTTGAACACAAACAATATAACCAGTATCATCCAGTCAGGATATGAATTCAAACAGTATCACCAGTATTATACAGCCACGATATGATTTCAAACAGTATCATCAGTACCATACAGTAAGGCCATGAACACAATCAGTATCACCAGTTCCATACAGTCAGGCCATAAACACCAGCAGTATCACCAGTATCATACTGCAAGCCCATGAATACAAGAAGTATCATCACCAGTATTATACAGCCACGATATGATTTCAAACAGTATCATCAGTACCATACAGTCAGGCCATGAACACAAGCAGTAACATCAGTTCCATACAGTAAGGCCATAAACACCAGCAGTATCACCAGTATCATACAGCCTGACCATAAACACCAGCAGTATGACCAGTATCATACTGCAAGCCCATGAATACAAGCAGTAACACCAGTTCCATACAGTCAGGCCATACACACCAGCAGTATGACCAGTATCATACTGCAAGCCCATGAATACAAGCAGTATCATCACCAGTATCTTACAGCCAGCCAGCCAGCATTCGGTATATTCAGACGGTTTGTGATCCTATTGAAATACAGCCGTAAAGGTAAAAAACGTGCGGACATTTCGATCTCACGCAAGTTTCAGCGTACAGACATACCTCAAGGTCTGTTGTCATGTGAGATATGCGACTAAGGTGTTTGAATTGGTTGGTTTCCGAAACAAATATTCAACAGATTGCAATAAAATAGTCAAGGTTTCAGGTGTCTCCGCTGATATGAACCTTTTGAATAGTTTCAGCATGTATAAAGTTGTAAACAAGCGACATTGTAAAGGGTAAAAATTCAAAAGAACTACGACATGCTCTCCTTTATCGACACGAAGAATGCTGGTGTCATCGCCGGGCGTGGGACACGAATTGACTGCAAAAGAAATCTGCTCGCTTCAAAACGTAGCGTTTTAATGATTGAAATACGATTTATACTTGAAAGTGATGTCTTTTAAATTACATTTGAAATTGTTAGTCATGTGTCAATAGCCCCTTGATTTTATCGTATGTCTTTAAACCGATGGAACGATGTGAGCATACAGAAAGACATTATCGACATTTAAATTCACTCACCCATGATGGACTAGCTGAATAAATACAACCTGCCAGTTTGTGTGTGCATTTGTATAAAGCTATTGAAATTTAAAATAAATTGAATGTAATTCAGTGTTTTCGCTCATGTTGGTCGGTAATAACACAACTAATTTGGTAAAAAAATCTCTTCTTTTGATACAAACCCCTCTTATTCCGAAATAAGCAAGACACTTGCATGACTGATTTCTAGACAACTTCGCACGACGTCCCAGTGGGAGATGAATGAAAAAGGAGTTTGTTTAAATCCTGCGAATGAAGCGGCCTCTTCCCTACAAAACTTCTTTTTGAATCTAGTTCAAATTACATGACTCTATAATAGCCGTTCAGTCAAGTAACCCATGAGAAAAGGAAGTCATGTGCGAAGATACTTATATATATATATGGAGATGATGACGTCACTTCTAATACGAGTGGCTGAGTATGGTTTTACGCCACTTTTAGCTGTATTCCAGCAACATCACGGCGGGAAGTCGGAAATCGGCTTAACACATTGTACCAATGTGAGGAATCGAACCCGGGTCTTCGGCGTGGCGAGCGACCGCTTCAATCACTAGGCTACCCCACCGCCCCACTTCTAATAGGAAGCTGTACATGTCAAACATAAGTTATGCCCAAATTATACCTAAGTTATACACAACTTACACACACGTTATATACAAGTTATACACAAGTTAGAACTCGTATGTTGGGATTAGCACATGTTGATAGACAATAACAGTATTATCTCATGTTTGATTTTCAGTTATCAATAAGCTATTTAGATCAATTTGAGTACACATGAGTATTTGCACAGGAAACACTCCTAGTATGTTTTGTTATAATGGCAGTGAATACATCCTTTGCCTGTACCTGCTGACAATGTACAAGGCCACGCTACATATATTGTTGAAGTGAGTGAGTGAGTAAGTTTTGCTTAACGCCGCATCAGCAATCTTGCAGCTATTCGCGGCTATATTGTTGAAAGAGTCATCCGTGATTCACACAATTTCATTTGCTGTTACAGTGGCTTGCGTTCACGTGGTGTATACATAACAGGTTATTCGCAGCCACCCTGCCAGACAGAGCGTAGTCACAGCTCTATGCGGTACAGACTAAGCACTGTGAAAATGGGACGTTTCATGGAGGTGGCGCTGCTCCTGGTGTCACTTGGAATCGTTGACGGTACGTTTTGATTTGTTGTACTAAACACATTCTGGTTGGCTTAAGCATGAACATCCCTTGCTGAGGTACCTGGAGCACATATTTTGGAATAGATTTCTGAAAGGTTTGCAAAAGGTTGATGATGATGCTCTAGGTGTCAGGATTCAATTAGCCTATAAGCTTTGAAGGTAGATAATTCAAAAGCTTTTTTTTCTTTTACTGTACCGAGAGCCTTGTCCAATAGAGTTCCTCGTAGAACTATCTCTTTGAAACTCCACAGGACGTGATGCAGTGAATGCAGCGAATTATCTAGTCAACATGTCTTGCATTCTATTTCTTTTCAACTAGACATTTACCCATGAGGCATGCCTCCTCTATCAAATTCCTTTCAAGCACATCTGTTGTTCTCAGTAGTTGATACAACTCCTCCTCAGGGTAGTTTTGAACTTCAAGGTTCACGCGTGGCATGGAGGGGACAATGGGAACAAATGCACATGTTGTTATGTCCTCTACTGTACACATGAGTTCCCCTGTGTCATAGTAATGCCACGGCCTAGTCACGTGGTGTCTGTCATTCTACATTCTGCATGACTGAAGAGGACAACATCTCATTACATACCCCTACCCCTGTGTGAGTCATAGGTAGTTCTCTGTGTATTTGGGGCATATCAGGTAGACGAGGAGCTCTAAAACCACTTGACTTTGCCAGCTGAAAACAACATGCTACTTTAAAAGTATCAAGAATTCCAGGACGGCGCATTTCAGATATAATCTTTACTAGACCTGGAAAGCACAAACGAGACTTGATACCAAAAGAATAATCCCAAGACGTCATATGTATATGTATAATACGTATGTAATACGTATGTTATTATAAGTATTATAGGGGCCGGTCGGGTGGCCTAGCGGTTAAAGCGTTCGCTCGTCACGCCGAAGACTCGGGTTCGATTCCCGATATGGGTTCATTGTGTGAAGCCCATTTCTGGTGTCCTCCGCCGTGGTATTGCTGGAATATTGCCAAAAGCGGCGTAAAACCATACTCACTCACTATAAATATTATAAGTATTATAGTGAATCAGACATGATGCAGATTTCCCGAAAGTTCGCAAGCTGTCGAATGTAGAGTAGTGTTGAAATAAATACGCGAATCTGCGACATTGATATCAGCTGTTTTCATGTTAAGAAGAATTTTAAAAGAATTTATAACCTCTGACTAGCAACCCTGAAAAGAGTATCTGAGAGCTAGTTTCTGTTTAGGTTAAGCAACTCCGACGACAGAAACCCCGACCTCAACAACCTCAGGTGCAACGACACTACCCACACCTGTATCTACCAACACCCGGACTGGCGGACAAGAATACCCTGAGGGTATAAGTATAGACAAACTATCTTTGAGTATGCGAGATTTGTTTAAAGCCGCTTTGAGCAGTATTTCAGTTCTATCATGGCATGTCAGCTTGATATGGGAGGAAAGCCTGATGTGATGCAAGTATATACAATAAAAGGAATAACAAATATGTATTTCAAAGTTGTAATCATAAAATATAACATTAAAAGACTCATAAAATATAAAATGGTTAATAATATCTGAATACATCTATTATTTGTGTTTTGGTAAATTGTATACATTGTCTTTGATCACAGTTTATAGATTACCGTTTTGCTGTTTATAGTTTTGGTTATGTTGTCAACTTTCTTTGTTGATGTCGGTTTGGTGTCTTATCTAGTGTGCTCTGGGGTGCGGCCCCCTCAGTGGTATAGTGGTTAGAGCGTTTGGCCGGAGAGCAAAAGGTCGGTGGTTCTATCCACTGGTCGCGTCAAACCTTATCACAGTACTTGAAGGATGGTACTTGTTGTTTCCTTGCCTTGAGCTCGGCTTTATGGGGATAAGACAGAGAATGGTCGGCTCGGAGTCAGTACATTCCATGTAAAATAAATTTAAATTAAAATCACTTGACATACTTGGTTTTGTTTCCATTATGACATGCTCGTTTTGAAATACTATACCGGAATCGAGTATCTAAGGTGATGTGCTTTAACTGACTCATAGCAATACATATTTGAATATCCTTATAAAGCTTTGCATCAGAACTCGTGACGGTCTTGAGAAACATACAATATTCTGCCACCAACCTTTCAACAGACATCGGTGGTATATGAGACATCAATCAGAGACCAACGTCATATGTACAGAGATACATGGAAGGTCGGGATATAGGAACATAAAGAAATGCATGGCGACTCTCTGATTCGCTGACACCGCTAATAACACTGGGATTTATTCATATACATAGCAGCACACATGCAAATAATTCTGTTTTCATAAGAACTTTTTCATGGTCTTCCATAGGGTAGGTGTGGCTACATATTGATAATGACAGTCATATAACGACCAACTGTATCGCGATAAAACACATAGTCAATCCAAACAAATGACAGCTATATTCAGCCTGAATGTTCAGAATGCCCCAAGTTACACTGTCACTGTGACTTACTGAGGATGTGATGAACAAAACGTTCCGATTGACATGGAACGCCCGAGTAGGCTCTTATTCGTCATGCTGTTAGTAGTTGTAAATGTGTAAAATAACATTTAATTTGCTTTGTGGTCACGACATATCTGTTTTCATAGATGTGCTTATTGTGATCTGGGGTGATGAGCATTGTGTAATATATGAGTATCATTTCTTTGAATAATGACTTTTTGATAGCAGTCATATTAAAACATATTTGGTTTGTAACAACATCAGATTCGTGTATATCAACCCCAGGCACACAATGCTCAGTCAAGTGATACGATGAAATTATCAATCGCCAGAAGCTAGCATGTACAATTGTTATCCATTCTAAAACCCGACTTACAAACTGTGTATATTTCTTCCAGGTGTGAGCTACCTACTGGCATGTATAATGTGTAGTGGCGTGGTTATAACGACAGCTGGGAATACAGGGGGGTCCTTCATGGTTGATTATCCACAGCTGGGATATAATGTCACAAGGAGTGTAACGCCATACAACGACACTGCTGCTCGTATAGATCCGTTATTGTGGGTGACGGTAGGCGTGGAAACCAAGGCTTATGTAATCCACGTCTTTGGCAAGGACATGTGTGTTGACGGATACGATGGATATGGCGTCGTTTCTTTCCTCCCGATCTCTGGCCTAGGTTCCAGGTATGTAGTATCCACCTGCGAGGGATACAGGATTCAGGTGGTGTTAGTGATAGCTAACCACAACCACAAGACGGATGTGGACATCACGCTGATGCTGGAGGGGAACGTCACCTATGGCAACATGACCTACATCGGTGGAGACACGATTAAAGTGACACTAGATGAGTATCAGACCTTCACGATGAAGAGTGACTATGACCTGACTGGAACTGTAATCAACGCAACACATACTGTAGCTGTGTTCAGTGGGGCAATGCAAGGAGTTGTTCGAAGCTTGGCGCAACTATTCCCTGTCAGACATCATGGCACGTTCTGCCTGTACGTCACATGTTTCTATTTCATAAAGTGAGATACGTTCTGCAAGTTATTAGTGACCAGAGTGACACTGAAATTATGTTGAGCAATGGATCTACATTCTCTCTGGGTGAGAACCGTGTATATCGCCAATACCTCGCCGATAGTGAGAGTCTATATTTTAATGCAACAAGACCTGTCATGGCAACCTTGTGTAGACTCGCCTCATCTTTACATTCATATGGGTTTGCTGTTGTAACTCCAGTAAGGTATTTCGTGAACAGTGCATTGATTCATCATACATTCTGTACAAAGATCCTGAGGAAACAACACGTAACGGATATTGAAGTGTTTAGTGGTGATATGGTTCCTGTTACACTGGACTGGGTGGACATCCCCGGCAGTGAATACAAAGCCGGAACACACTGTTCATTCGTCAGATACATCATCCGCTCTGCCAGCAGATTCGCTGTATATGGGTTTTCCGAGGGCATTCTTAATGGAGGCTACCTTTTCCCAACTGATCCATCAACTACAGGTGCTGATGCAGGTAAGTTCGACGACGCCCTGCATTTGGGAAAGAATTCTTTTTGTGTATACACACACCGTGTTTACAATGTAGAGCTGTGTTATTTGTACATTTATCCCTGCATTGAATATGATACTGAAAACACCTATTAACAGTATGATGCATGTCCATGTTAGAATACTCAAGCCATAATTGGAAACGCAGGTGGTGTACGGAAACGACGCTGTATCAATGTCTGTCCCAGTGTCGCAAAATAACATCCACCTACCCACCATCACCCCGCGACCCCAACTCCCAGCACCCTCCCCCGAAGAACTTTTACTGGTACAGGCTCGTGCCAAAAGATTAATTCGTCGGACATTCGTGCAATTCCCGCCCCCAACCTGTATATGCTTTGCATATATTGTTTCTGTTGGTTCGATTAGTTTTATTCCCTTATCTTTGACTATTAAACCTAATACTTAAGTTATCTTTTTACAAGCCTGTTTGTTTACAAAAATGTTTGAAATACATTTACTTATACGAATGTGCCGGATATATAAGTCTGTACTAGTCTTTATACTACATAAATATTTTGTTGTGAATGATTACATATGCAGTTAAACGCTTTAGCGAAAGAATCTACAATCACAAAAATGATCTGAGACATGAACGTCTCCATTATAACATTTGTCTATAATTACTTTAATAACTAAGGAGTAGGTTAACAATTCATGTACAATTATTATACCACCAAACTGCAGTCATTGTGAGTGTTCTTGACACATAGAATGTCTTCATCTCATTTTGAATGTTCACATTTCATTAACTTGGAGAGTGCATCATGACTGAATGTGTGTGAAGTGATGAAAGAGAATGTGTGCATTCAATTATCTATTGTCAACTTCCGTTTGTTGTATACACTAACTCCAACGTTTCTCGCACTTAATCTCTCTGCTTTATTGATCATTTGTACAGTTTCATCATCATTCAGAAACGTTGACTATGCAGCTTTAACACGTATTTCAATCATCTATCCTGTTTGCCGTACAAAGCTCTGTTTTATTTTCCTATAGAATATTAGTATTAGTTTAATGAAGTAAAAGACTTTTGAAGTTGAACTGTTTCAAATAATCACTCAGATTGATAATATTGACTTTTTAACATTAAATTTCTTCTCTCCACAACCATCTTGTCCTTAAGATTGTACAGGTGTTGCTGCAAAGGTATATGATTTAGTACACGTATGGTATACCCTATATACGCATAGTTTGTAAATCTCATTCCGCACTTTCCATACCGATCTGCAATCAGATATCAAGTCATATATCAATTATGTGAACATTTACACAAAGGAAACACTTAAAATATTGTACAATGGAGCCCTTGTATACCAGACGATGTAATATTCGTGTTGACGAATCATTGGTTGGGAGTTATGTTGGGTCAACACGGCCACTTACTTGTCTGCGGGTCCGAGACTAGTGATATATTGTAAGGACTGGTGATATTATTCAAACAACTAGTTTGAGAAGAATTGAGGACTAGTTGGATTAAGCTCGTGACATCTACTGTTATACACCTAGGAAAAAGTTAAACACCACTCTTTTTCGGTTTGCTATAACGCCATGTTTAGAATATATCTATACGTGACATTGATGTCATATTGATACAGCTATCTGCTATCTGTTGAACAAGGACAATGCAAGCTTCTCCAGATGACTGCAAGATAGTCCCATAGTATTGTATGGTTCAGAGAAACAGAAGAATGAATGGGTTGTAAAATAACTCTTGCCATGGGCCCTTTGACATGCCTAGCATTTCCTCAGGTGTGTACAAAAAAGGACAACGTATCAGAAAGTGTCCAGGAGATGGGGTTTCAGATTGACGGGTGTCCGGACTGATGGGTGTCCGTTCTGATAGGGGTCAGGTCTGTTGGGGACATGTCTGAAGTGACATGGCAGTTAATTGTTTGTTTAAACATTATAGGCCATGTTCAGCAGTAACCTCACATGCGCTGTAGAACGACGAGGATTGAAATGTTCTGTTGATCAAAGTCCCCTTCTCTTGTAGGAATTGCTATATGTTTAACATTGTTAGGATATTTTAGATTCTCCAAGACACATGAACTTGAAAATTTGTGAAATTTGTCTTAACCTCTGAGCCCTGTGATGTACATGTGGAGTGGACTTGACGATGTGAAACCGTAGCTCAAGGAATGTGATTGTTTCCCCTTCCATGCTCCTTGTTTGTCGTTTTGTGTACAATAATGATACATTTCTATGTTATGTTTGTTTATTTGTTTTCTTGTTTCTTGTTTAATGCTACACGCGAGTCTGGACCAGATAAACTAGTGATTGCCACCATGAGCATCCATCCACGCAATTGGGTTACGGTAACATGTATCAGCCAGCCAGCGAGCCTGACCACCTGATGCCGTTAGTCGCCTCTTACTACAAGCATGGTCTGCTGAAGACCCATTCTATTCCGGATCTACACTTGGGGTATGTTTGTTTCCTGAGTCTACAGATGTATTAACTGCTGTCGTCAAATGGAATGAATTAACTACGGTTATAACTAAGTGAACTGATATATAATTAATTTTATTATTAATTAATAAAATGCATTATTTTGGTAATCTTACATTATTCCAATTCAAGGGGCTTTCTCCCTATGCATTTGTGTTCCACGGTCAAAGGGAAGCTACTCTTCCTGGTTTAATAGTGCAAGGGAAGCTACTCTTCCTGGTTTAATAGTGCAAGGCACCTTATTAGTGTATTATTCAGGATTGTTCTTCACATGCTCTAAACAAAGGGAAGTAACCCATGTTGCAGCCGAATTTAGTTGCTACATCCTCTTTTCATCCACACAACCACACCGGTAACACGTTTTTGAAATGGCGGAAACACTTACGTTAGAAGAAACATTTCTAATTCTCGTTTTTGTGGCGTTAGTTATTATTGTGGTGAACGTTATAGCTTTACTTATCCTCATGGAAAAGTATTTCAAACAATGGACAATTTTGTTTCGGGGATGGAATCAAGATTTTCAGTAACAACTGCAGCTATGAGAGTGCTTTTCATGGAGAAAATGGCGGCAGCAGCGTAGCCGAAGCAGAGGTCCACGTGGTCCCAGAGGCTACCGACGATAACGCCTGTTACCACTACTCCTTCAGGAGGTGAGTCGGTGCAAATTGTTTTTTATCCCAATAGGCCTAATGCATATAACCCTTTAGTTAATTCACAAATGTATCCTCCCGGAATTTGAAAATCTTGTCCCTCAATCCCAGTATCATAACATTGCTCCTAGCATAGTTAGTAACCCAATTGCCCCTCATAATTCACAAGTCATTCCCATGTTTCAAAATATTGACATGTTAAATATGCCACCACCTACAACAACACAAAGTGTGTATGATCACCTGGGTTGGAATGTTCCTGTCAGCATTAAAAAACAACAACAACAACAAAAAACAAAAAACTATGGAATGGTGAGTACATCAATTTTCGCACGTTTGCTTAAACCAGACAGGGATTTGATGGATTATATACAACTTCGGTAGTATTCATCAGTACAGATGGACAGCTGGAGTTGAGGCCCAAGTCTAAGGGCGCGAGAATCAGAACATTTTTGATTGGACAACAGCTTTCACAACTTACATGAGTATTTATGTCCAGCGCAGGATGGACATGGAACAAGGTTCACTCAAACACATGAATACTGTCCGTTTAGCAGCGTCTAGTTATACTGGTTTGGGATGGAGAACCTATGATGAACAATATCATCTTCGCCAGGCTCGTGACCATTCTCTACCATGGGGAAACTTGAATGTGGAATTGTGGATGTTGTTTGTACAGACACTTACCATCAACAGTTCAGTTCTGGGTTTTTCTGGTATACAAAAACGACACGTCAGCACATTTCAGGGCAAATTACATCGACAGGCAAGCAACACATGTAACAACTTCAATCAGAGCAAGTGTTTTAGGCAAAAGTGCAAGTGCCGACACAGCTCTTCCGCATGTGGAAGCGATGCCCATCCAGCCTGCTAATGTACATCAGCCAGCACTCCTTCCAGAGTTATACAAGCTCGGTCGAACACCAGTCAAGACACAGGTGATGAAAAGAATGGCCAAGCATTTTCCATATCAGGCTCAGTTTCTGGTTAATGGTTTCAAATATGGCTTCAGGCTAGGATATGATGGTACAGTGGTAGGTTCTGGCAAAAAATGGCAAGAAATCTCAAATTTGTTAAAAATAATCATCTTATGTCACATTCAAAAATCCAAAAAGAGTTGGACTTGGGTATAATAGACTGAGCTCCTATACCGTATGTTAAGGTTTCACGCTTGATTGGTCCCTAAGAGTGCTCCAGGAGATTCTAGATTAATACACTACCTATCTTTCCAGAAGGTCAGAGCGTAAATGATTTAATTCGTGAATCAACATGTGTGTGTGTGTGCCGGAGATAAGCTATCTCATTCGTTAGATGCTATAGATCATATTTTGAAGGTTTAAAGGTTAGATTAAAAGAGATGCAGTCGTTTCTTGGTTTACTTTATTTCCTGTGCAACGCAGTTCCATCAGACAGATGTTTCCTCCGACGAATGATTAATGCAACATGTGGTAGGAAGCCTCACCACTACATAAGATTGACAAAGAACATGAAGAGTGACCTAAGAGTTTGGCAGTGATGATTTTGAAGGAGTTCAATGTAGTTTCCATAATGCGATCAAAGTTTTCAAATGCCGATCTGGAGTTTTTCATGCTGACAATGCTGGTGGACAAAGCAAAGGTTTTGGTATTTATTTGGCCAGTCCATAACCTGTGGAGCTTGGCCGAATCATTGGCTACAGCAGGGCTTTATGACTAATATTACCTTCCTTGAGTATTTCCCCATCGTAGCTGCAATTGTGATATATGGGGTTCTCAGTTACTCAAAAAAAAAAAAAAGGGTCACATTCCATCTGACAACAAGGCAGTAGTCGAGATTATTCACAAGATGACCTCAAGATCAGATCCAGTCATATCTTTGGTTAGGCACCTTGTCTGTGTTGTTTGGAGTCGAATATCACAATTAGATGCGAGTACATTGAGGGGGAAAAGAATGTTCTTGCTGATGCACTTTCACGCTTTCAGTTAGAGAAATTCTGGCAGCTGGCTTCAGATGCAGATTTGGCGGCAACTCTTATGCCAGACACAGTTTGGAAGATTGTGGAAGAGAGGTAAACCGATTACTAGTACGGCTATTTCACACAATACGAGGAAGGCTTACAGGGAGCACTGACCAGTTTTTCACGCTTTCGACAACAGTTTAACTTTCATTATCTTTGGCCTGCACCGTCAGGACAACTAACAACATATATTGCATTTTTGTCCCTGAAAGGTTTGGCCCACTTAACAGTGTCAGCACCTTTCAGCGATAAGCTACTACATAAACTCACAGGATTGCGACATACAACAAGCAATTTTATCATCCAAAAGATGTTGGAAGGCTCTTAACGACTCAAGGGTCATAGGGACGTCAGGGCTACAATTACCTATTCCATATTGATTAAAGATGCCTCAAGCTCTTAATGCTCTTTGCTGTTCTCCATATGAAGCTATTTTGTTTACAACTGCATTATTTTTTCTGGCCTTTTTTCGGTTTCATGAGAGTTGGCGAGATGGTTTACACTGACCATCTTCATTTGGTACGATCTCAGATGTCTTAGGATTTCAGATGTCACAGTCCAATGGACATGTTTAGAAGTAACCGTGAGATCGTCAAAGACAGATCAGTTGGCAAGGAGGTGCTCGCTCCACATCCAAGGTAATGCAAGTGAAATAGGCCCACTAAAAGCAATGAAGCAATACCTTGCACTTCGTCCAGCGGGTTTGGTTTTTCCGTTTTGCCATGGGAACAGTCAACCTTTAACAAGATACCAGTTTGCAGCTATGGTTTCCAAATGCATCAGATATATGGGACTCGACCCATGTAAGTTCAAGTCACATTCGTTCCGTATTGGAGCACCCACTTCTGCCGCCAAAATAGGCGTGTCATCGGAGACAATACAGTTGTGGGGTCGATGGAAGTCTAAGGCGTACTCAACTTACATTAGACTCTAAACTTTGGATGCACAGTCAATAACTTCAGGCAATTTGATATTTATAAATAATTATTATTTTTCCAGATGTATGGATAATAGGCTCCTGATTCATTTATTTGGCTCATCGTCAATCATTGAGGTTGAAACTGGGGAACAATCTAGGGTTACGATTTCACTGGTTTGGAAAGCGGGGCATGAAGTGGTCAGAACTCTTGCAAGTCGTCCAGACACAATTAGGCTGTATACCTCCCCCAAGTCTAATACTCTTGCATTTGGGATCAAATGACCTTGTTGACCAGAATATTGGTTCCCTTGTTTGGCATGTTACTGATGGCATCTACTACCTGACTCAACTGCTACCATGGTTATACTGGCATGGAGTTGTCAATCCAAAGGCGATAGAGAGGGCTCGACGTCGACTGAACCAAGCTGGGTTCAAAGCCGTTTTGCATTGGGGTGGCCGCTGTATTT